GTATTTTTTCCCTTTGCATTTTTAAAATAAACACTTTTCATTTTTTTAATCAATGAGGTGTTAAAAAAACAACTCGGTGGTGCATTTTATTTTACTTTATCAGGCAAATCCCACTAAGATTGCAGGAAAGGCTAGGTTCTGAATGCAACATGGTTTTGGTCTGCGGGATAAACTCCRTACAAGCACGAGGAGAACATGCAAACTTCACACAAAAAGACCAGGACCAGAAACGGGGATCAAACCCAGGTCCTTCTTGCTGGGAGGTATCAGTGCTAACCATTGATCTATCATGCTGCCAGTACTAATGAACACTAGGGTAGTGGTCAGGCCTGGCGTGGCTAATCGGGAGGATCTGGACTTCTCCCGGTAGGCCGCCTGATGTTTGGGCCGCGAGAGCCAGCAACATGTTAGTTGGAATCGCTACAGACCCTGATTATATGTAGCGTTGGCTTGCCATAACTACCTGTGCTGCGGGGCGGGCCGCTTTGGGCTGCAGCCATGTTTTTTTTCCTCCTCCCAGCAGAAGGAAAGGCGGACRTACTCCGTCTGTCTGGAAAGGCAGATGTAATCCGTCTGTCTGGAAAAGCAGACGTCCTCTGTCTGTACTATGCCTGTCTGGAAAGGCAGATGTACTATGTCAGGCCGATGTACTATGTCTGTCTGGAAAGGCAGATGTACTYCCTCTGTCTGGAAAGGCAGATGTACTCCATCTGTCTGGAAAGGCAGATGAACTCCGTCAGTCTGGAAAGGCAGATGTACTCCATCTGTCTGGAAAGGCAGATGAACTCCATCTGTCTGGAAAGGCAGATGTACTCCGTCTGTCTGGAAAGGCAAATTTTTGTCTGGAAAGGCAAATGTACTCTGTCTGTCTGGAAAGGCAGATGTACACTGTCTGTCTGGAAAGGCAGATGTACTCCATCAGTCTGGAAAAGGCAGATGTACTCCATTTCTCTGGAAAAGCAGATGCACTCCGTCTGTCTGGAAAGGCAGATGTCTGTCTGGAAAGGCAGATGTACTCCATCTGTCTGGACAGGCAGACATCCTCCATCTTTCTAGAAAAGCAAATGCACTCCCTCTGTTTGGAAATGCAGATGTACTCCGTCTGTCGGGAAAGGCAGATGTACTCCGTCTGTCTGTAATGGCAGATGTCTCTCTAGAAAAGCAGATGTAATCCACCTGTCTGGAAAGCAGACATACTCCATCTGTCTGGAAAGGCAGATGTCTCTCTGGAAAGGCAGATATAGTCCATCTGTCTGGAAAGCAGACATACTCCATCTGTCTGGAAAGGCAGATGTCCTCTATGTACTCCTCACTATGTCTGGTAAGGCAGATGTCCTCTATGTACTCCTCTGTCTGAATGGAAAGGCAGATGTCCTAAATGTTGTCCTCTGTCTGTCTGGTAAGGCAGACGTACTCTGTCTGTCTGGAAAGGCAGATGTACTGCAACTGTCTGGAAAGGCAGACGTACTCCGTCTGTCTGGAAAGGCAGACATACTCCATCTGTCGGGAAAGGCAGATGTACTCTGACTGTCTGAAAAAGCAGATGTCCTCTGTCTGTACTATGTCTGTCTGGAAAGGCAGATGTACTATGTCAGGCCGATGGACTATGTCTGTCTATATGGGCAGATGTACTCCATCTGTCTGGAAAGGCAGATGTACTCCATCAGTCTGGAAAGGCAGATGTCTGTCTCGAAAGGCAGATGTACTACGTCTGTCTGGAAAAGGCAGATGTTCTCCATTTCTCTGGAAATGCAGATGTACTCTGTCTGTCGGGAAAGGCAGATGTACTCCCTGTCTGGAACGGCAGATGTACTCCATCAGCCTGGAAAGTCAGATGTCCTCTGTGTACTCCTCTTTCTGTCTGAAATGGCAGATGTCCTCTATGTCCTCTGTCTGTTTGGAAAGGCAGATGTACTCCATCTGTCTGGAAAGGCAGACGTACTCCATCTGTCTGGAAAGCCAGACATACTCCATCTGCCTGGAAAAGCAGACGTCCTCTATCTGTACTATGTCTGTCTGGAAAGGCAGATGTACTATGTCAGGCCGATGCACTATGTCTGTCTGGATAGGCAGACGTACTCCATCTGTCTGGAAAGGCAGATGTACTCCATCTGTCTGGAAAGGAAGATGTACTCCATCTGTCTGGAAATGCAGATGTACTCCATCTGTCTGGAAAGACAAATGTCTGTCTGGAAAGGCAGATGTACTCCATCTGTCTGTAAAGGCAGATGTCTGTCTGGAAAGGCCGATGTACTCCGTCTGTCTGGACAGGCAGACATCCTCCATCTTTCTAGAAAAGCATGTGTACTCCATCTGTTTGGAAATGCAGATGTACTCCGTCTGTCGGGAAAGGCAGATGTACTCCGTCTGTCTGGAAAAGCAGATGTCCCCTATGTACTCCTCTGTCTGTCTGGAAAACAGATGTCCTCTGTCTGTCTGGAAAAGCAGATGTCCTCTATGTACTCCTCTCTCTGTCTGGAAAGGAAGATGTCCGCTATGTAGTCCTCTGTCTGTCTGGTAAGCAGACGTACTCCGTCTGTCTGGAAAGGCAGATGTACTCCATCTGTCTGGAAAGGCAGACGTACTCCGTCTGTACTATGTCTTTCTGGAAAGGCAGATGTACTATGTCAGGCCGATGCACTATGTCTGTCTAGATAGGCAGATGTACTCCCTCTGTCTGGAAAGGCAGATGTACTCCATCTGTCTGGAAAGGCAGATGTCCTCTATGTACTCCTCACTATGTCTGGAAAGGCAGATGGTTTTTACCATCAAAAACTGAAAAGCGCTCCGCTCTTCAGTACATGAGATTGAGTCAAAAATACGAGATTAATTTCCTGTCATAATTCACAGGTGGTGCCCCAATTTCTTTAGTAAATTATAAGAAACTTGTAATTTAGCAACTTTTCAATAATTACAACTCTCCTATATACTATTACACAAATGTCATATGCATGTATGGAAAGGCAGATCTCCTATGCATGTATGGAAAGGCAAATGTCCTATGCATATACAGAAAGGCAGATGTCCTATGCATGTCTGGAAAGGCAGATGTCCTGACATAAACTCAAAAATGTCAGACTGTGAGTGGTATTGAAGACACAGGACAAGTAGTACAAAAGGTAAGTGTTTTGTTTACAGGTGCAGCAGTTGTCATCTATCTGAAAAGGAGGGGAAGAGTCCAATGGAATTCCAATGTTTGAGAAGTTGATGATTCAATAATGATATGTATAATGAACTTTCTTTTCTTACAGGTTTGTGAAGACAATGGGGCTCCAGGAGGATGGTTAATCCAAAGGTGAGTAGAGAAATCTTCAGGCAGATTGGCACATAGCAAAAAACACCCAAACAGTGAAATCCTTTTGTGATACATCCTGTGGCAGGGTTTCCAATGGCTTTCCTGGTAAGGGGAACTTTCTGGTGGTGAAACCTTAAACAAAGATACCAAAAAGGTAAGGGAAGCCAGAGCACAAGCCCGACCCCTGGCGCACCCCCAAGTTCCCAATCCACCATCAGTCCAGGCCCCCACCTGGTGGTGTGCCCCCCACCAGGGCCCAACCCCCAGACGTCAGTCGGGAAACGGGGGAGTGAGAAATAAATAAATAAATAAAAGAAGACCCAGACACACACACCCCACCCTCAAATGTGCTATTGATGCGTGTTGTTCTATAATGTAGTTAAAAGGAGAGGAAGAAGGGGCTGAGGTCGGTGGGATGCCAGTTTTACCCCCACCCCAACTCTACCCCAACCTCTAAGTGTCTATGTGCAGCTATTGGGGGAGGGCACAGATACCAGTGGTCATAGAGTGCCCCCCCAATGCAGAGTTCCTATATGTGAATGTCATGAAGATGTTATAGTGAGTGTCTAGAGTGTGTAATAAAAATGGGGTCTTGGCAGCTAGCCTGTTCCCCAGAACCCTGCATGAATGAAATTGTAATTGAAGAGGGTGGGGGTATGGGGTAAGAGATGGGGAGAAAAACT